CAACCCCAATTAAACACACCTGAACCAGCTAATCAAGCTCTTATTAGGCATACTAGAAACTTAAAGACAGGTGTGTTGAGGCAAGTTGGAGCTAAACTCTGCAGGACACCGGCCCTCCAGGACCGAGTTTGGGCAGCCCTGGTTTAGAGTCATGCAGAATTTAATTGAGAATGCCTTTTAAATTCCAATTCAGTCCATGAAAATATGTAGCAAATAAGATGCAAAAATTGCAATTCCAATTTGATTGAGGAAGAATAAACATTAACTGAAATTTTAAAAAAAAATTCATAACATTTATATTTTTACTAGAAAAGCTACGTTTTGAAAGTAGGTAGATAGATGGATAGATAAATAAAAATATTTTTTAATTTTTTCCGTATTACTTTTATTGTATTTTTAATATTTCTTACTAAACTTATAATTGCTTTTTTTTTTTTTTCAATCAAATATTTTTAAAAAAAATTTCAATTAAATTACCATTGTGTATGAAATATGTTCTACAAATAAACTTGTCTTGCCTTAAATTCTTCACATTTATTTTACTGGAAAATAAGTGTTTGTCAAAACGAGCTCTTGTTTAAAGGTTCAAATAAAAAATAAAAAAGCTTAAAAACATTTCAAGTTTGAAGGTTTATTGATCTTACAGACAGACATGACTTGGAAATGCCACCTATAAAATATGTATTATATATCAGATTTAATAAATTAAGTTTTACATTTACATTACATTTAGTCATTTAGCAGACGCTTTTATCCAAATTGACTTAAAAATGAGGACAACAGAAGCAATCAAAACCAACAAAAGAGCATTCATTTGACAAGTCTCGGTTAGTACACATAGCAAGGTTTTTTAATAATAAATAAAAAGAAAACAAGTAGATATATTAGAAAAAGTATAGAGAATGTGTAATGATAGAGGGTCAATTTTTATTTTATTTATTTATTTTTTATAAAAAAAGAAAACAAGTAGAATAGAAAGTTTTGAGGAGCAGGGTGGAAGAACACTTTCTTAGTGTGAATTCTCTGTACTCTTGTCATTTGAATTCAAATTTCATTTCAACTTCCTGTGGGGTGTGGCCAATTCAATTCAAATTAAACTCATTAACTGAAAGGCAGCAAATTCTATACCCAACCCTGACCCTTTCTAGGTACAAGTTTTAAAAAAATCCCAGTTCAGGTCCAAACATTTTCAATCCAAAACTGTTAAAGCAACCCAAGGCACACAGTTCCAGCCCACTCCAAATAAAAAGGGTTTGTAGACACAAAGGGCATCAGTTATTCTGCCATTCATGGGGTTGAGGCAGAGTGGACATTAAGAAGAGACAAGGCACTCTCATCGCCACACAAGGAACTTTTAGTTTCTCTCTCTCATGCTTTTTCATCAAAGGCTGACATCTGACTTCTGGCCTCACTCATCACAGACACAGAGCTGGGTAAAGACGACCCGATTCAGGCACAGCTGTCCAACAGCACTTTCTTCACAGAGCAGGCCATGAACTCCGAAGCGGCCCGCACCTCCAACGGTTAATCCACACTGCCCCACTATTGTCGACCTCTGGAACACCGAAAGCTTTCAAACCTTCGGTCGACCACTCCCAACAGTACGGTAAACCTTGTATAGGGTCTGCCAATAACATCAAACTTGTGGCAAAGAATGCAGTCGCTATAAAAATCTAAAGTGAAATGCTGCAGAACAGTCAGCATAGCACAGAGTTAATGTTCAGGTGGCAACAAAGCAGCAAGTTGAAATGTGCCAGAGTTTGGTGACTCACAACCTTGGCTTTTTAAATGACTAAGACTACATCTTCAGAGCCAGCTTTCATTAAAAGACCACCATTGTTACATGGCTTTCCCCGTTCCCAATGAAAAAAATGCACAGTGGCCAAAAAGTAACAGCCTCGGCTCAGATAACAATCTCAAAGTCTGCAAATCACAAGGGTTAGTCAGACAAAAGCTCTCACAGCTAAATCTGACAAACAGACACAGAACAAGAAGAGGATGTGGAAATGTTGTACGAGCAGGAAAAGTGGGATGTGTGAGGACGAAAATTCCATAACCTGAAATTATTCCAATGTACATTTTTATTTCATGGATTATGTGTCATAAGGCATGTAAAAATAAGACGTAGCCTGTCCTTCATACCGAAAATAAAATGGTGAAAACACCCATGGAATTACCTCAAATTTTCCATGAGAAATCCCCCATTTTCCATTTCAAAACCAATAGGAGCAATCTTCAAATGCCTTGCATATTACATAATAAATGTCTGTGACTGTCACATATGTATCACGGTTTCCACTAAAATATTAAGTAGCACAACTGTTTTTAACATTGATAATAATAAATGTTACTTAAGCACCAAATCGTATATTAGAATGATTTCTGAAGAATCATGTGACACTGAAGACTGGAGTAATGATGCTGAAAATTCAGCTTTGCATCACAGTAACAAATTACATTGTTCAATATATTCAAATAGAATATATATAAAACAGTTATTTTAAATTCCAATAATATTTTACAATATTAATCTTTTTACTTTATTTTTGATCAAATAAATGCAGTCTTGGTGAATATCAGATGTCTTTAAAGTGCCCCTATTATGCCATTTCCAATATTGCCTTTCATGCAGTGTGTAATGTAGCTATATGTGAATGTAAACGATCTGCAAAGTTGTAAAGCTGAAAGTGCATGATAAAGTTATTGTCTCCCAAAATAAAGAATCGACTCTGAACAGCTGAAACGAGTCGTTAGTAATTAGAATCCCACTTCCGTGACGGCTACACGTCACGGGGTAACACATTTGCATAATGCGCGCCTATGTTCCACCGCGAACAACTTGACCCCACCCACAAACACGTCATTCTGCTGACGACTGCTTCTCATCTCGGGGAGTTCAACGTGGGATTCACAAAATGCTTGCTGTTGATAGGCGTATTGTTTCCGAAACGCGCTGTACGCCGTAGACCAATCACAACAAACTAGGCCATCTGACCAATCAGAGCAGAGCAGGCTCACGGAAAGGAGGGGTTTTGAGAGACTGAATCTTTGAACTGCTTTGAACGAATCGTTTGAGAATCGCTGGAAAATTAGGTTATATTAAAATGTATATTTTGAGAAAACGAAAGTGTTTTTTGACCTTGCATGCATGTAATCCTATTGTAGGAGACTCCCAAAACAATATTAGGAACCGTAAAAATGGCATAATAGGGGCACTTTAAAAACATTTTTTTAAATCTTACTGACCCCCCAAACTTTTAAATGGTAGTGTATATTTAATACATGTGTATTTTGTCTTAAACGCACCAAAAAAAACAAAATCAAAACAAAAGTGAATTTTAGGGTCTTTTAATTGGATATTTTAACTGGAAATGCTGGATTTAACTGGATATTATTTTGCACTATTGTATGCTATCCTATCCATTATCAAAAATATTATCACTCTTTTTTTGTTTAAAAATATTTAAGCATACACTATATAATTTGGAAGATGAATAAATAATAAATAAATTTGATGTTTCTCAGCCTGTCGGATCTGCATAAATTGACAAGCGGTGGCATTCTCTGTCTTATGTATATTATCATTCTCTGTTGCTTCAAGTGAATTTCAATTGGATATTTTAACTAGAAATGCTGGATTTAACTGGATTTTTTTCCACTGTTGATGTTATTATGATCCTATCCATTACCAAAAATATTATCAGTCTTTTTTTGTTTAAAACTATTAAATTGCTCACTATATAATTTGGAAGGCGAATAAACATAAAAGACAAATGTGATGTTTCTCAGTTTGTCGGATCTGCATAAATTGACAAGCGGTGGCAATATTTTCTGTTTTATGCATGTTCGTTTAAAGCTGCCACGATGAATCAGTTGGGGCATCCATTTGCAGTTCGCTTGGCACCGCTAATTATTGGATCGAAGATAGAGAGCCTTTCAGCTGCGTTTTCAAAGCTATTGCAGCCCACAGAAAAAAAAGAGAACGAGTGCGAAACAGTCCAATTTGTGTTCGGGAGCCACAGGGTAGAGAACTGATCAACCGTAAAACCTTTGTCTTGTAGGTTTTTGGGTATGACCAGATTTGTCACATCTGCGCAGCTTTCATAGCAAAAAGAAGCAGAATTACAGGATGTGGGGTGACTTAATAAGACAAGGAGAAAATAGATATTTCCCCTTGCTTACTACTGTCCTTGATGCTGAAATTCCTCATAGACTTTCACCTGAGACGATTTTCTTCTTTGTTTAGAGAACTAAGTTCTTTCAGGCCAGTTGCTAGCTTAATCGCTAGAAAATTAAAAAGCACAGCGCAAGCCAAATATGCTGGCAAGGGCTTCGTTCATTCACAGGGTTGGCTAGAAAACACATGGGGGCCATATGGGTGAATGCTAAAAGAGTTAGCTTACATCTGGGTCGACTCTTTCAATACCATCCCAGTTTCCAAATGTTCTCGAAAAACCGAAAAAAGCCCCAGTCCAACATGGCCGTGAGCCACAGCATTGTACGTTGATGCTGCATGCCAAATATTAAAGATGGAAGAAATTAATGAGGAAAGAAACCTGATAGTGTGGACTTGATGTTCTGAGCCGACTTTGTCGAGATTACGCTGTTCTGTGATCTCTCAAACAAATGGTATGCTTGCAAACTGTTCTTGATAAAAAGCACTGGTCTTCTGAAAATACTAACACGCCACTCAATGCCACATGCCACACATCAGTCTACAGGAAAAGGGATGTAATGGAGTCCTTAAACAGAGTTAGAAAAGAAAAATGACTTGTCACAACAATTCATCAGTGTGTTCGGAAGACGAAACCCTGTAACGTTAGCACACACTCGCATGATGCAAACAACAGCTTTCGCAATACAACAGTGAATGGTTGATTGGTGAACTCAAAGTGGGCCTTTAGGATTAGTCTCATGTTTTTCTGATTGCTAAGAACCACATTAGAAAATAGGGAGTTTACCACATCATGACTCAATCAGACCAGAGGTACGGAAGAGGCTCTTACCATTGTTCAGATGTACGCCGTTTTCATTCTCTGGCCTGTACCTGCAGGAAATCGTAGCTTTTAATTACCAGGATGTGCCTCCAAATAACACCTAAGTCCATATCTGGTCTTAGTTGTCAATGTAGGGCCAACAAACAGAGTTTGCTGGCCTAGTTAAAACATTAACATTGTTCATTAAAGGAACAGTTCGTCCAATAATGAACACTCTGTCGTCATTTACTCATTTTCATGTCGTTTCCAATGTTTAGGATTCTCTTTTTTTTCACTGAACAGAAAGGGAGAAATTCTGAATAATGTGCTGAACAAATCATACAGGTTGATTCTTGGGAATTGGATTAAACGATTGAAAAGTTTCGCTCACAAATTAGTCATATGGACACTTTAAGGAGAGTTTTGTCATTTAGTAGCTTGACAGTCCTAGTAGGCTACTCTTTCTTCAAAAATTCACCTTTCATGTTCCTTAAAAGAAAAAAAAAGTCATTTCCATTTGGAAAAACATGAGCTAGTGTAAATGAAGCCAGAATTTCCATTTTTGTGTGAACTATTCCTTTAACTTGTCCATCATACACAGCTCTATAATTAAACTGCCTAGACTTAGCACCAAATATACATTGAATTGTTAAATGTACAAGCACACATCACTAATACATTTATAAAAGGGCAAATAGAAAAGTTAGCAGCACTGATGGAAGCATGTGGACTTTAAAACAGACTAATCCTAAAGACTTGATTGTGAGGAGAAGATGGAAAGATGGAGTGGTGGGGTGGGTGTACTGTTCATAATGTTGCAAAATTTACAGATTAAAGAAACATACAGAACAGTAAAACCGCAGACTTGTGGATTTTCAAGCAACCAACAAAGATTTCAATTCATAAATGTTCATGTTGACTATAAAAACATCCTTTTATGATTGAAACTGACTGTGTGAAAGCGTATTGAGAATGCGTTATCCCAACATTAACCACTTTACCACCTTATTCACAAACTAGTGCGTACATTAATGAAACAGGACAAATTACAGTAGGGATTGGATGTTTAGGAGTCTTACCTGAAGCAGGTTCCTGGATCTTTTCCCTCTTCCGCTTCTTTTTTTTCCCCTATAAAATAGCCAGAGGAATATGAAGCGGCATTATAAAAACATGACATTTCTGCTATTTATGAAGTGATATATAAAAAAAAAATAATAATAATAAAAAAATAGGTCCAATACTCCTTCCTACTTCTTCTGGATTGCATGAAAACTAAACTAAACTAAACTAAACTAAACTAAACTAAACTAAACTAAACTAAACTAAACTAAACTAAACTAAACTAAACTAAACTAAACTAAACTAAACTAAACTAAACTAAACTAAACTAAACTAAACTAAACTAAACTAAACTTAACTTAACTTAACTTAACTTAATAAATTAAATTAAATTAAATTAAATTAAATTAAATTAAAATATATATATATTATTTTTTAAATAAAATAATAAAATAAAATAGTAAAATGAAGTAAGATAAAGTCAAATAAAATAAAATCTAAAACTCCTTCCTAATTCTTCTGGATTGCATGGCCTAATCACCAATCGGAAAGTTAAACATGAATAAAACATCTGCCCCTACTCCAACTGACACGACAAACACTCCTCTTGAGTGAGAAGTCTGGACTGCTTTAGGATTTGTAGCTTACCCAAAATCCCCTGGCAGGATGACTATAGGTATCGATAGCGCCGCACTGTCATTTTGCGGTCCAATATGAGCCATGCTTTGGTTGCCTGCTGTAAAGTCTGATAATCCACTTATTCAGTCACTAATCTGTGTATTCTAGCCCTGGCTGACAGAACCAAGAAGCCCAGAGCAGTAGAAATGTCTATGACAGAGCAGGGATACACTCAGAATCCTTAGCACTATTAAATACAAGTGTGCTCCCACCACTAATATATAAGTGGAGATGAAAGTTCATCTGTCTTTGAAGTGTTTCTTTTTAGCCTTGTTGCCTTTCCATTTGGTGATTAGTGTGAAAGCCAGGTTTTAGTTTTAGCAGCACATCCTGGCACTTCATATTGAGTGAGATTTATGCCAGTTAAAACTTAGGCGTCCAAAGTTGTCATCACAACATACATTTTGGATGTGAATTCTACAAGCTAACTGCCTTGATATCTGACACATTTGTATAAACTAAAGGAATAATTGTATAAATGTAATAATATTGAGTAAATGGTTAGCAATATGTCTCTTCTGGAAAACTTTTAGTATGTGACAGCTGTAAGAGCTTGGGAGCGACACTCTGAAGGCAATTACTCATGAAAATAGTAGAAGCTTTTAATGAGCATCCACATCATGTCCATAATAAAATGCTTATAATAAGATGTAATTGGCATTCATGTACCATAAGCAGAACAGAAATTAGTCATTTAAAAAAAGATTACATTTAACAATTTACGTAAAAATATTTTTACAATTTCTTGTTGTACAAAAATGTATGTTCATGTTTCTGAGCTTCATTTATGAAAGAAGCAGAACAAATTGTGTAAGTCGTTCATAAAATCATTCTTATGAAATGCAATTTACAAAGGAGCATTTGTACAAACAATTTACACAAATTTGTTCCACTTTTGTTTCATGAATCAGTCATAAAACTATTCTTGCGTAAATTGGTACAATGCAACAATTTGTGCAAGAATGTTTTTATGAACAGTTTACACAACTTCAATCTGCTCTGGTTTCTCGCGCACATTTATGAAACGTGATCAGAACAAATTCATGTAAATCAGTCATAAAACCTAGTAAAGTATCACTTTCAATGCAACAATTTACACAAGAAGGTTTTTAGAAATCATTTACAGAAATTTAATCTGTTTGTATTAGGGCTGGGCGATAATTCGATAGCGATAATTATCACGATATAATTTTCCTCGATTAAAACGATATGAAGTGTTCGATATAATGTTTACGCGCCAAAAGCTGAACGAAACAGCGCGACTCATTTGAATCGCGCTACACGGACCGTTTATCCGTTCGGAACACAGTTCAAACTGCCACGCCGCGCGAGCTCATAGAGCAGATGTGTTTACTCGGTCACTCGAGCACTAAACAGCGCTGTGAGATCCAGTGTGAAGCGCGAATAGAGCGATGAACACAAATTACTCTGTAATTTAAACTAGTTTAAAGCCAAACAGGAGAAACGATGTGTGCAACGAGATAGTCAGAAGGCTTTTCAATCTACACATTGCCATCATTTACCGTGGATTTACTGTAGTAACACTCACTGCACCATGGTATTGTGACAGAAATTTGGGATGTTCACACTGAATTTTATTAAAGGAGTAATGGTATATAATTATAGTATGTATTTGTGATTAAGCTATAGCATGTGTGCATTTATACTGAATGTTTTTAGACTAACGTTACTGTTTTTCATGCAAATAGGCTACTTAAAAACCATATAGTTATATTTTTACCATGGTATTGAGGTGTTATATGTGTGGTTTTAACTGTGTTTATCATGATTTAAATGTATGCTACTATGGGAGACCAATGCTTAATTTAAATAAAAAAAATAAAAATAAAAAAAACCTTGGTCAGATTAAATTTAACCATATAAAGCTGAGGTTGCTACAATTTTTTTTTTTTACAGATGTTACTGATTTTGATAATGAACAAAAATGTACCTCTGCATCCTAACTCATGCTACTATCAGATGTGCATTTCTAAGAGACAAAAAAGTGTTATTATTATTAATATTATCAGGCAACCCAAACCTGTTTCTTCATTTGAAACAATATCACTCATTAGAACATGCAGAAACTAAGAAATGTATTTTTCTATTCAGATATTTATTTTGTTAAGGAAAATTAATGGTCTCGTTTCTATAACTTTCACTTTGGAGCAAAAATCTGGCTTTAAACTTGAAAGAAATAAAGATTTGACATTTATAGTCATAATTATCGATATCGACTGATATGAAAAAAATGATCGTGATAATTTTTTTGGCCATATCGCCCAGCCCTAGTTTGTATTTTGGAAACCCTTTTATGAAACTCAAGCAGAATAAATTCAGTAAATCAACAAATTGTATGCAAACCGTTACATTCAATGCAATAATTTAAGTTTTTATGAGCCATTTACTAAAATCTGTGCTGCTTATGTTTCATGAATGAATGTATTTTTAAATTAACAAAGATAAATTGTTAATTAAAGGGATAGTTCACCTAAACATTGTGTCATAATGTACTCACTCTCCACTTGATCCAAACATTTGGGAGTTTCTTTTCTCTGTTTTACACAAAAGATGATATTTCGAAGAATGGTAGTAACCAAAAAACTGACGGTGCCCATTGACTTCCATAGTAAGGAAAAAATACAATGGCTACCATCAACTGTTTGGTTACCAACATTCTTCAAAATATCCTATTTTTGTGTTCAACAGAAAAAAAGAAACTCATACAGGTTTGGAACAAGTGGAGAGTGAGTAAATTATGACAATTGTAATTTTTGGGTGAACTGTCCCTTTAATTCAAGTATCAGAGAAATGCTGGTATCTAACTTGTGAATATTTTGTTCTATAACTGTTGTGTTGTAGTATCATTCAGTCCCGTCAGACTTTTTGAATAGCCCTTTAGACTTTTCTGACATAACCTCAAACTCATTTTACAACAGTTAAACATTTGGACTACTAAGCAAACAATAGTAGTATGCATATATTTTCACTTTTAAAGACAAGCATTATATTTACTTTCATGCAATCAACACATGACACAACTCTCACTCTCAGGCAGTGTGTTAGTGTGGACACTTACATAATTGTCTCTGGCAGACCATCCTGGGTAAAGCTGCATATGGAGCTGCCGTTCCTTGCGGGCTAATTCGTAATACTTAGCTTGCTCTTCCCGAGATAAAGCATGCCACTGTTCAGTGCAGAGGGAGAGTAGAGAGGGGGGGGGGTAGTCAATTACTGACATGCACTTTTAAGTTTCTTCCAAAGAGACGCGTGCTTGCGTTTGGCTAAAAATCCTTGTTAACTCTCAAACGTTGCGTGTGTGTGCGGGTAAATGTGTGCGAGTGCATGTGCACGCGTGCCTGGGGGTGGAATGGAACATGATGAAGAGATTAACATATGCAGCGATGAGAGAAAGGAAGGGGAAAAAAACACGAAACTTTGATTTCATATCAAAACACTGGTTTCAATTTAGCGGCGCTTTACTTCAAACCATGTCAGGGTGCAATTACCCTACACTGCCGCAAAACGGTCCTTTACTGTGGCTAGCCGCCTCAAACCGCAGAGGCTTTGGTTAAAGCATTAAATATGTTTAATGGTACTCTTTTTCCCATTCCAAAATGGAGCGTTAAAGATGCTACCTGACCAGATTTCTGAGCTGTCAGCTTGTGTGTTGGTGTACTTGTAAAATTGAGTTAGACAGAAGTGCTAACTACAATAGACCCCTTTGTGAAGGAGGTCACATGGTGCGAGAGACCCGCAAATCAGATACGTACCCTCCGCCCGAGGATCTGATTGATCGCGGCGCTCTCCTTCAACGTGCATTCGGCCACCACATTGGCACGCATCTCTTTCATATACAGCATGAAAGCGTTTAGAGGTTTCTTAATGTGAGGTCTTTTGGGCTCCTGCTCCTTTCTCTGCTCGTGATGAGGTTTCCTGGAGAAACAAGAGGAGGAAAGAGTTAAAAAAAGAGGGGGAAGAATTAAGTGATACAGGGAAATACAAAGGGGAAAAACGCTCAGAGGGTGATGTGAAAGCGGCTGCCACAGCGACGCCATGGAGTGTGAGAGCGCCAAATGTCTGATTCCAGCCGCCAATCGGAAGGCTGCATGAGAGAACAATCTGGGAGCCAGTGCCGAAAAGCTAGCAGCGGCTTTTAATTATGTCCAGTTGGGTGCTTTCATGCAAAGAGATTACTTCACCAGTAATGGCAACCAAACTTTCATATTCCCTCCAACTCTATGACTCCCAAGCCCTACAGCTCCCAGTATTTCACTCCCATTGGTGACCTGGACCTGATACCTCAAGCCAGCTGCATGGCTCATAACGGTCAAAATTAGAAAAAAATAAAATAAATATACAACAATAAAAACTGGAGCAGATACTTCATGTTATGGCTGATAACGGATAAACGGCTGATAATAAATTTCAAGACAATTTTGTCTGAATAAATTAAAAATAAAACACTAAAAACTGAAATCATGATGAAACCGAAGCAGTGACAGATCTTGCTTCCATATTGTAACAGATTTAGAAAATAAAAATAAAATGTAGGGTGGAACTTGGATTTTGAGATGCGGCATTGTACTTGAAAGTGGAGGCAGATGAATGTGAGCTTGCAAAGTCATCAGAGAAGTCCTGCATGTGTTACCAAAGAGAAGTGTCATGTTTTAAAAGTCCGGTTTTGACATTTTAATTCAACTTTGAGGTCAAAAAATGTAAATAAACTTAAAAAATTAAACATGCACAGATTAATGAATGATAAGATCTGTAATATGCATTTAGAAGATAGATAGAATGAATTTTTATTTAATGCCTAGTTTAAATGCACAACATTGTAATGTATGGTATGAAAAAAAAATAGATTTTCATTTTGAGATTTAGTAGATTGCATTTATTAGTATTATTAAACTAATTAATAATTAATTAATCATGTTAAATAATGGAAATGAGCACAAATAAATATACAATATCAGCCTATATATCTCATATTAACCATTACTAATAAATTGAAACAAAAATTCCCTAATAATGAAAGCAGGGTAAATATATTTGCTATGAGGAAACATAAATACACAGATTGCATTTTGAGCATGCTGTTGAATGCTAGCAGCTTACTAAATGGGATACTCACATGTGCATCAGGTCTGAGTCGTGATGTGGTTCGTGTTTCACCTGTGGGTTGACAATGGCGGGATGGGGGATTCCCGTGACATGGGGTCCAGGAGGGCCTGGTACCATGTGATGAGAGAACCTGAGAGCAAAACATAATGTGTGTGGGTTAATGCATCATTCACTATCCACATTATTAGTTATGTCTTAACCTTTTGAAGATTCATGCAAAAAATAAATAAAATAAAATAGTCTTCGGGATTGTATGGCCTAATCGCCAATAAATAAATAAATAAAGGTCCAATACGTCTTCCCAATTCTTCTGGATCCAGGATGATGCCTGGGCATACCTGCATCAGGATTCAAGAAGGAGCAAATGAGAAAACGACATCGGCGTGTGTTAGTGTGAGATAGACGCAACTGGAGAGCAGCAGTGTGGCATCACAGTCGGCGCTGTTCTAATAAGCCCTGCTGATATGATTCACGCTGCTTATGGATGTCAGTTGGCCTGCGGTTCTAAGCTTCTCAACTTCACTCCAAACACACGCATGCATGCTCTCACATACACACATTTGCACCGAGGTCAAGACTGTGTTTGTGTATAAAGATTTAAATCGAGGAGGGAAAAAGTGAAGTAAGACCCTAGGGCTAAATTAAACAAACGCACACACACACAGCAAGAACATGCAGTTTAAAAACAACCCCTGCATCTCCAACTCATCATTTTTCTCTCCATTGTTTCACATGGAGCAGTTTGGTTCAGAAAAGGACTAAAATGGGTATTGAATTACTGCGTTAACTACTGGCTAACATCATTTTCTCCTCCTGCACAGCCTAGGTGACATCAGCAGAAAAGGGAGATCATTTCAGAGGCAGAGTCTGATGAAAGATTTCTAGACAAACATTTGTTTTATCTTTTAAATAATATACACAGTAGAATCAGGAATGTGTATTTAAGTGGTAAACAGGGTCTATTTTGATTTTATGTCAACTTTCCACGCCAAGTGAGACGACTGAATCATGAAACACCTGAAAAAAGATCTTGAAAAGGCTACTCTCACAAGTGTATTATTTTCAATCCCGCCCTCAGCGTATTATGTCTGATGAGTAAGTGACTCCATGTTTGTGTTTGTGTATGAAAACAGAGCAAGTTTTGGATCATTGGCCAATCTGCTCGTGGCGTGCGGCCTCATTCAGGCTATTTATAGCTCTCCAGACCTCCTCCGCTTCATCACATCCTGTCTGCCCGCTCCCTCGCCGGTCGCCACAGAGGTGAGTGTTAGCCGGAAGGAGCACATATGGAGTTGGGTTCGCGTGCAACAACGCCTGCCAAAAAACCTCTCCGCCCCTTTTAAACTTTAACCCCACCTCTTTTAACTGACTTGAGGGAAATAAGATTCTAGTGAGAATGAGCTGTTAGCTTATTAAGTGTAAGAATATAGTTAATGTCTCTTTGGATCAGTGATAACAGAGAAAGAGTGCTTAAAAAACACAAGATAATAACATTACAAACATACACATAAAAAGGAAAAGTTCACCAAAAATAAACATTCTGCCAGCCTCATGTCTATCTAAACCGGCATTTATTTCTTCTGTGGAACACAAAAGAATATATTTTGGAGAATGTTGGTAACCAACCAATTTTGGTCACCATTGACTTCCATTATATTGGCAAAAAACACTGACATTTTTCAAAATATATTATATTATGTTTCACAGAAGAAAGTCATACAGGTTTGGAAAGACATGGGGGTGTATTAAAATGACAGATTTGTAATTTTTGGGTGAAAAACTGAAAATTTGTAGTCCCTATGAAAATACATTTTGACCCATACTGTATCTCTCTCTCTCTCTCTCTCTCTCTCTCTCT